TTTTCTTGCCTTTTCCTCCAATTCTATTTTCCATCCTGTTTGGAGAAGTGAGCGAGCAGCTCAGTGGTGCTTAGTAGCCATGTGAGATTAAACCATGATACCTTAGGAACAACACTTTTCATTTGGTGTCTGCACCTTCCCTAGGTACTGGGCCAACTTGAAGCTCTGGTTTAAGCAGAAGATCAGTAAGGAGGAGTTTGACCTGGAAGCACGCAGGCTTCTCACGCAAGACAATGGTAAAAGGACATCTTGTGTATGTTTTCCTGCTGCCCCTAATGCTTCCTTGCCCCTGCTATGCCTGTGGGGAGCTCTTCTCTGCTGCTAGTTGCTTCCCAATCAGGGGTGGGGGCAATGGCTGTGAAGTAAACAAGAATGGCCAGGGCTCCCATAGCAGTGAAATTAAAAAGGTGAGAGGTGCCCAGGCCTGCAGGGAGAAGTCCCTTTGTGGCCCCACCGCTGACAGACAATTTGGTTTAGTGTAAATATGGTAAAGAGGTAAAACATGCTGTCCCAGCAACCAAAAAACACTTTGTTAGGTCACTGTAGAGACCCAGTCTTTTCCAGACTGCACTCCTCCTTGGGTTGGCACTAACCTGGTGGTGTGGCTGAAGTGGGGGAGGGAAACCCCAAATTCACATACATGATTATGCAGTGGGCAGATCTCTTCCCTGGACTTTGGATGTGGCAGGTTGGAGGGCTGAAGGGTGAGGTTCCTGCGTGCCCACATCTGTGGGGGTCCGCAGACATTGGCAGGCATTGTTGGAAGCAAGTCAGGGGTTTCCTGACTTCCACCTTCGGGATCTCTGCGGGGAAAGGCAGGGAGTTTGTCAGTGCTTGGGTTTAAAGGCCAAAGGGGATCCTGTAATCCTCTGACCCTGGCTTATGAAGTTCATCTTTGTTCTGTCTAACGTGTGATTCCTCACTCTCTGCTCCAGTAACCCTTCCATGAGGAAGTTGCATCTTAGCTAGAAACTGATGTAATTCACCTTTCTGGGGCTGACTCTCACTGTTCTGTTTCTAGCAGAACCAAAAGCCCTACTGCCAGAAATCTGTGTGGTAGGAGGGACAGCTGATCCTCCTCTGCCTGAACACACCAGATGCTTCACGTTGCATGCTCTCAGGCTGGTTTTGTGTCTGGCACGCTGAGAAGTGACCTAATTTGTTCCGTGCCGTGTTGTATTCCTTTTTTGTTAGGATGGTGGTAGCAGATTCTGGGTCCAGTAGGCTAAAACTCTCAAAAAAACTTAAATTGAAAGTTATGTGCTTGTGTAGCCAAGAACATAGGGAAAACAGAGCTGTGGAAGGGTCGGTGAGCTAGTTGAAGATTGCTCTGGGGGAGTGCCTCTGGGTGCTGATGTGTTACTAATGAACTGTCTGTCTTTACACAGTCCACTCTCACAACGATTTCCTCCTGGCTATTCTTACCCGATGCCAGATCTTGGTTTCTGCACCAGGTGAGTCCTGAGAAGGCTCATTAAAAAGAATCGGGTAGCAAAGCTTTGGTATGTATGTGTTTGGTGGGTTTTTGTACAAGGTCCTTCAATTTTCTGAGCCTTAATATTCATCTTCTTTTCGCTGCACAGGCAGAAGGGCAGCAGAGCAGTGATGCAGCTGATTTCAGCAGAGATGCTCTTACAGATTACTTGCCTGTGCTTGATCAGCGGCTGATGCTAGATTGCTTTTTGCGATAAGCTGGTTTGATTTCAGGATTGGGTGTGTGCTGTGGAGTGTGAAGGGAGATACTGCTTTGTCTCTGATCTTTGCTCACCGCTTCGGCTCTCTTCTGAACTTGGTGATGCTCTCTGTTGGGGATATTGTTCTGGGGAGCTGGATTTTCCTGACTGATTTTGAAATCAAGTACATACATATCTGATAGAAAGATGCTTAGAGTGAGTCTTGATTGAGCTATGGCCAATTAACCCAACCTGCAGATAGTTAACCTTTGTAACTTTGTAAGCATTTAGAATGGCTGTTGCCAGGGTTGCAAGATACATTTTGAGTCTTCAAAAGAAGTCTTGATCCAGGGATCTGATAGGGAGGACAATTGGGCTGTAATTTAAAGTGAGAAACTGCTGTGTAGTAAGGGGGAGAAAATTGTTACAGCTCTGGTGGGCTGAGAACTGAGAGGAGAGAATACTGTTGTTGTACCTGATGTAGCTGGAGGAAGGAAAAAGTGCAAAAATTAAGGATACCCACAGCTTTTGTGTCCTAGCTGGTCCTTAACTACACCAGCTGTGCTAATTCAATACTAAACTCGCTTTACAAACTTTACAAAGACCTTTTGTGTCCCAAACTTGTCCACTTTGGTGGTCTGCACTGATGTAATTCAGAAGATTTACGTCTAAATCTTGCTGTTCCTTGCTTTTGGCTTCGAGTACCCAGAGCTGGATTATAGAAAGCACAAGAGCAGGGATTCCCCTGTGGGTATTACCTGAAGTAGCTGAGTCTAAATTAGGAGGGGGAGGGAGAGACTGCCTGTGTTCTCTGAGCCAGGTGGGTGCTGGAGGAGAGCTGGTAGCACAGAGGTCTTGCTTCTGAGCAGCAGTTGTTAGAGCCTGTTGCTGTGCCACAGAAGTTGGAGTGGTTTATTCCTCTGAGCACTACTCTGCTTAACTGTGTTGAATCTCATCTGTGGCTTTACCCAGTCGCCTAGTCTGGTGCAGCTTGGTCAGGCTTCACCTTCCCGGGCTTGAATAGCTCAGGTTTGTCAGCAAACTCTTCCCAGCTCCCCAGTACCCTCTTTTTCAAGGCTGTCTCGAAGCGCTGGGGATACAAGCCCCAGCACGAAGCAGCGTGGTGCCTTCCAGATGCTCGTTATTTCCCACCTCATCTTTTTGATTTCAGCTCCTTGCCAGGGCCACTGACGGGTAGATGTTACATGTGTGTTTTACTTGCCAGTCTGCTGTGTACTGCACTGCATACACAAACCCAGGAAAGTCCAGTACCAATGGAATACTAGGTGGTATTGTCGAGATTTCTTTTTCCTCCTCTAAATACCGGTCTCACACCTCCTAGTTTTTTTGTCTGTTTTTCTCCCATGTAAGAGTGGAAAGCTAACAGGCTTTTCTCTCCACCCCTGTCTTTGGGTAGAACGTGTTTACTTTGTGATTCGTGGAAACAAGTAACTGTAACGAAGTGTGCTTGGCACGCCATCAGAAGGGTGACTGATGCGTGTAATTTCCACCCTGGTGTTAAAGAGGCAAGGGGGAGGAATCTTTAAAATGCTAGTTTGTATTTTAAACAAATGGTGTGGTGTGTTACAAGTGTCCTGGAGGTTGTGGTGCTTGGAATAGGAAACCTTGGAGAAGGTATTTTTAAGGAGTGATTGTAACACGTGTAACCCTGCAAGCAAACCCTCTGATGCCCATTTTGCAGGCTCTGGTAGCAGTGGTCCCACCTGGGCTTGTAAGGGAACACTGGGTGAATGAGACCCTTTGTGGGAATGCTTTCCATTTCCATCTCCCATCTGCTTGGGCATGCAAATGTCGCATCCCAGTTCAACAGCCTCTCGTAATCTTCCATGGACTTGCTTGCTAAGCTTACATTCTTTCTTGGACAGCTGCAAGTGAGCAAGCCAGCAGGGTTTCTTGAGTTGATAACAGCTCTCGCTTGAACCATTACCCCCCTCCTTACCTAAATGTTAACAGTAAACCCGAGACAACTGCAAGCACTTGAGTTAGTGATGTAAGGATTTAATCTGTTTTCTAGTAATCTGGAGCCAACTAAGAGATAGTTCAGTGAATTAGGACTCTTGCCAGGACAGCAGGAGCATTTTATTGTACCAGGGTTGCCAACAGGCTTTGCTTGAAGGGCTGCCAACCGTGATGGGCTCTGTTTGCTCGTGTTCCATTTCTTTCCAGAGAGGTGGAAAGGGAGGAAAAGGAAGAAAATGGGGGTGTGAGTTGTTTACAGGAGAGTCATCAGAATATATTTGACTAAATCCTCGTCCCTGCAAGGAGATTAAAAAAAAAAAACCCAAACACCCACAAACAACTGAAGATCAAATAAACGAGGGTGGGAAAATACATGTTACCTGTGCCTGGCTGCTTTTCTCTGTGGTGACTTTCTCTGTTTATCATTGTCCTTTCCTCCTGTGTGGTGCCGGTGCTGCACTTCAGGAAAACCTGCCACGCTCTGCCTGGACTGGCTGGTGTCAGCACCGAGAGAGATGGCAGCTCTTAGAAAAACATTCTCATCTGTTGCTCGTCTTTGAAGGCGTGTCAGCAGCCACTGCTGTGGCTTGTTAATGTTGAGTTCTCTTGCTAGTAAGATTAAATAAAAAAACACCTCTGAAGTTTCATGCCTGAGCCAGCCCAGCCTTATCATTTGTGGCCAGGAAGGCAAGTGCTGGTTTTCTTAGAATACTAGAGGGAAATTTTGCTGTCTTCATTTAGTTAAAGTCAGGCTTGGTAATACGAAAACCTGGAAAAGGAGCCAAAAGGAGATAGTATCTCACCCTTCCCTTGTTCTGTGCTAAGTCTGGCTAAGTTTTGTGTCTAATGTGCAGGCTGAGATTCAATTAAGTTGTATCTTTGAGGGTCTGTTGTCAAACCCCAAAACATTTGGTTGCCATTTAATTAACAAATCACTGTAATTTTTTTAAAATAAGGCATTTTTAAAATTTGGACTCAGCTATTGCCTATTAATCTGTTACACACTGTCAGATAAAGCAGTGGTGTTTGCTTTTTCTGCCTTTATCTGTTCCTCTTTCTCCTTCTCTCCTACCTGGTCGCACAGTTAGCAAAGGATACTTCCCTAGGTGAGGCTGCGGAGGAGCTGTATGAGACTCCTGAGGAGGAGGAAGGGCCTGGGGTGAGGTGACCTTACGAGCTACAGCCTTGTGCGTTTATTGGAAGCTTTGAAATGAGTCAGGGAATTTCTGTGTCTGTCCTTAACACACCTAATCCCCCTGGCCGAGAAGAGGTCTGACCTGCTGTGGAGGGGAGAGGAAGAGGAAGAAAGGACTCGTCTGCAGAGAACAAAGCATCCTGTGGGAGAAGTAGGGTTGTATGGATAGATCCAAAGGTTGTAGGTACCAAGATCTCGATGAAGAGCAAGAGTGGTCTTTTGATGGTTTTGTGGTGCTTTGCCACACCTTGTCAGGCCTCTGCTGCCATGTTGTAGTGATGAGCAGTGACACCAGCTTTATGATCTTTGGAGAGGGTTTATTATCACTTCTCCTGTAATGGACTGGTGGATTTTGACAGCAGGGGATTGTTGTGGACTAGTGGCTCTCACCTCATTAGTAAGATGCAGCTAAACCTTTTTACTAAACTTTTTTTTATAGGGAGACTACGCCATCTCTGTGTGTAGGTTGTTTCTAACACTTTGGCAGCTGCTCCAACCATGATTGTGGGGAGCTCCACACAGCCAAAGACTTCCACCCAGGGTCATTCCCTGTGAGTAGGGCTGTATTGTGACTGTTTGTGAACTCCTGATTGCAGCAAATTAAACATAGTTGTGAGAGCTGGAGGCAAATGTGCGGGTTGGTGGGAAGCTGGTGTTGAGCCGCTGTGCTGGTTTGCGTTGGGCCAGAGTTAACTTTCTTCACAGCAGGTGGTATGAGGCTGATTTGGATTTGTGCTGAGTACTGATAACACTGGTGTTTTCTGTTGTTGCTAAGGAGTGTTTGTACCCAATTCAAGGACTTTTTCAGCTTCTGATACTGCACCTGTGTTCCCAACTTTTTCACTACAAGCAGCGGGGAGGAGACACAGTCCTGACAGCTGACCCAAACGGACCAAAGGGATGTTTCATTCCACAGCACATCATGCTCAGTGTATAAACTGGGGGTGGGCCAGGGGCCGTGTTGGCTGTGTGGCTTTCTCATTCGTGCTGTCACTTGTGGGGCTCACTCTGAGTCTAGTGTGATTGCTCTAGGGCTCGGACTCTCACTAGTCAGGACCTGGTTGGGCATCAGTCAGCTATAATTCGTTTTATTTTCCATAATTTTTATAATGTAGCGGTAGTATTATTTTCATTACATATTATTATTAGTATTGCTAGTATTACTAGTATCACTATTTTATTAATTTATATTCAATTATTAAGTAGTTCTTACCTCAGCCTATGAGTTTCCTTGCCTTTCCCTCCGATTCCCCTCCTGCACTGGTGGAGGGGAGTGAGCGGCTGTGTGGTACTTTGCTGCTGGTTGGGGTTAAACCATGACATCCAACAGTAACAGGAGAGACCCAGAGCTGGTTGTTTCAGTACTGGGTGAAGGTGCCTGAGGCTGGCCAGGCTGTGGGTGGGGAGTTGTGGGATGGCTGCTGTCACTTCTCGTCCCTGTCAGGAGAAAAAGGCTGGCTCAGGTATGGCCAGGGAATGTTACAGTGGTGGTGCAGAGCTCCGGCCTCTGCTTCGGAGGTGACTGCAGCACCTTCAGAGCTGAGTTGTCAGGGTCCCTGCCTACACCCAGGGAGCTCAACACAGGGCACGCTCTGATCCCAAGGAAAAAAGAGGAAAAAGGGTGCTTGCTGGCTGTGCAGGATGGAGGGAGCAGGATGCTGGTGACACGGAGCAGGGCCTGCCTCTGCAGCCACAAGAGGGCTGTCCAGTTGCACTTCTTCACTGCCAGCAAGCACATACGTGTCCTATGCAACCCTGTCTTAAGCCCTGATGTACCTGAAGGTATCGTGCACGGATCCGGTAAACCCATCAGTGGGAAATAGGCTAGGCTGTGCTTGCCAAGAGCTGGATGGTCATCAGGACAGGGTCTGGCCTACTGCAGGTGTAGCTGTCAAATGGCACAGTGGGCTTTTCAGCGGTCTCCTCAAGGTGATGTGGCCAAATGTATTTATCTCGTGGTGCTACACAGTAATCTCTTTTCAGCTGCTTGCCAGTTCTGGTCAGTCACTGCTCGTGGTGTTGTTCTGCTCCTGGGCTGAGCAGCAATTCTTCCCCTCTGTGTCACGTGAACGATCAGCCGTGATGTTTAACGGGTCTGAGACAAAGCTTGCTAGTGCTGATGGCAGATGTAATGAGTCAGACTGCTTGATCCTGCTGGTTAGCATCTAATCTGATCCAGGTTTTGATGTGAGGAGGATCTCCCTCCGGGCAAGCTCCTGTCATCATCCGGATGGAACAAATGGCTTGTTCCTTCCTTGTGGCTTTCCTTGGAGGCTACGCTCTTTCCTCTTCTTCCACCATGGGTTTTTCTGAGGTGTGTGAACAGAAATTTCTACTTAAGTCATGAGTGAGGGGGGCTGACAAAGGGAAGGCAAGGGCTGCCAGAAGCAGTCTTTGCTGAGAATTCCTTCCTCTGGGCCATGGCTGTTGATTTTGGGTTAAAGCTGGGCACCAAACACTAAGGGTTTTGCGGTGTGCACAGTTTCATCCCGGCCATAAATCAGCAACACATGTCGAGTGATGGTCTTTTCTCTTTTCAATTTGTAGAAGGCGCTGGATCTCTGCCCTGGCCGGGTGGCTCTGCAACTAAACCTGGGAAGCCCAAAGGAAAGAAGAAGATTTCTTCAGTGCGACAGAAGTTTGATGTAAGTGGTTGTGGCCTGTACTCTGCTCTTGTGAGACCCCACCTGCAGTGCTGCGTCCAGTTGTGGAGCCCTCAACATCAGAAGGATATTGACCAGTTGGAGCGAGTCCAGAGGAGGCCACGAAGATGCTCAGAGGGCTGGAGCACCTCTGCTATGGGGACAGGCTGAGAGAACTGGGCTTGTTCAGCCTGGAGAAGAGAAGGGTCTGGGGAGACCTTATAGCCCCTTCCAGTGCCTGAAGGGGCTACAAGGAAGCTGGGGGGGACTTTTTACAAGGGCCTGTAGTGACAGGCCAAGGGTTAATGGCTTTAAATTGAAATACGGGGAGATTTAGATTGGGCATCAGGAAGAAGTTCTTCCTGGAGAGGGTGGTGAGGCACTGGTACAGGTTGCCCGGAGAAGCTGTGGATGCCCCATCCCTGGAAGTGTCCAAGGCCAGGCTGGATGAGGCTTGGAGCAACCTGGTCTAGTGGAAGGTGTCCCTGCCCATGGCAGGGGGGTTGGAACTAGATGAACTTTAAGGTCCCTTCCAACCCAAACCATTTGGTGATTCTATGATTGTTGGGGGTGAAGAGCGCCGCACAGCATGTGGTTTTTGGTACAGCCAGGGATGCTGAAAGTCCATTGCAGGCTGTGATGTACATTATGTTTGAGTTCTGGATTGGGGCATGAGCTGGGGGCTAGTAGCTGCTGCTTCCTTCATGGAAGTCTCTTGGGAGAAAGGCTGCAGTGTGACCTGGCTTTGTTAGACACCAGGGGATCCATGGAAGTACACCTAAACGTCCAAGTTACAGAAGCTCCTGTTCCAGGAACCACCTTTGTACATCTGCCAAATCCTTGAAGCAAAAGTGCCTTCCCATTTACTCAGGCAGAATGCCGTGATTGTACAACCCACTCTGCAGATCTCTACATTCCGATGCTTTAGAAGAGAGATGTTGATTGGGTGGAATGTTTTTGTTTCGGAATTGAAAACGCTTTGTGAAGATGCCGTCTTCTGACAGCAGAGAAACGCATGAGATCCAGGGAATTCCGCAGCGAAGGCTCTGTACGTCCATCTGGTCTGTCACACATCTGCTCTGTGGTTGTTTCTGTGCTGCCAGACCGGTGGTGGGGGGTGTGTTTGTGTAAAAAGTTTGGGATGAGGCACTGGCTTCCATGGACAGGGGTTATTCAGACAGTTGAAACTGAATTAAGTTTGTTGAAAGGGAGACTCTCTGCCTCTTACTGAGCCAGGTTTATGGGGTGTCTGAGCACATCGTGATCCGGCGCGTTTTTCTGATGAGACAGAAAACTGATGGAGCGAAAAAGACCTCAATTCCTTTTTTTGTTCCTAGCTGGTTTAATTAGCTGGATCAGCATTCTTTGCAGCTGGATGAATGCCAAAGCCAGCAGCCCTGAGTCTGGGCACAGGGCGGAAGGGTGGGCCTGTGAAACCTCCCCTCTTGCTTTCTGAGGATCACCTTGGCTCAGCCAAAACACGTACCCCGCTCCCAGGGCCTGTAGTTTGGCGTGTTGTGTGCATGCTGCAGAGCAGCATTTTGAAGGGGTGCGAGTCCAGCTGGAGGCTCCTTGTACTTAGAAACCGCTGGAATGTTTTGCAGTGTTCACAGCTGCCACTTACATTCTGGTGGCAGCCTGTGTTACCCTTCTTGTTTTGAAACTTCCCCGTAATTTTTCAGTAGCAGAGGAGAGTGTGAGAAGCAAGTCATCGATGTAGTGGGAGTCTTGGAATTTGGTTTACTCAGATACCCCTACGCTGCACTGCACTGCTAGTGTGTGTGTTTACACAAACGTTCCTGGAAGGCTTAGTAGTAAGTACTGTATGAAGTGTATGTTATAATTAATGGGCTTTTTTTCATTCCTGAGTAGTGTGAACCTGAAGTGCCTTGATATTTCCTGATGTTTCCTTCCCTGGTCAAAATAACAACTGTTAATGACGGTAGGTTCATCCCAGTTGGCTTCTATTCTCCCAACCACATTCCTCTTAAGAGTTGCTTACTTTTTGGAAGGTATTTTTATTTTTTTTTTTCCAGGCATACAGGCATGTAGCTTTCCTGTAATGAAAGCATAAGTCTTCAGAATTACGGGGAGGGAAACCTGCTTTCACATCATTAGTGGGTGGATTGGGTTTTCACTCTGAGTTAAATGCCACACTGTCCTTTGAATAAGCAGCCTTCCTTCCTCTCCTGAAACTAAGATGTGAGAAATGCACTTTGCTGTATATTCATTGTTTATATTTAAAGTATGTGTTTGTCTCGATGTCCCATAAGAGACTTTTGGCCATCTTCATTCCAGAGTCACCGGATTTGTGGCTTGGAGAGCTGGGGGACAGGAGTTGTGGCAATACTTGATGAGCCAGGGCTCATGTGGGCCTGGCTCATTGTTTCCTTGTGGGTTGGGACTGGGCCAAGCACATGTCTCTGAACCCAAGGATGGATCATTCTTGTCTGCTTTTTCCCCCTCTTCCTGGGGACTGAGACTTTCTGGCAGCCAGCACAAACTGAGCTCGAGACACCAGCACATCAATGGAATTGTGCTGGAATACACGTGGCCTGGGAAATGGGGGTTGCCACCTTCTGGTATGAATTCCTGTTCTGTGATAGTGTGTTTTTCTTGTGTAACTGGGTCAGGTCTGAAAAATAGCCATAATCCATCTTGGAATCAGTGGCTGCTGAGCGACACAGCTGGGCTCAGAGTATTGAAAGAGCAGGGGGAGACTAGAGTGTGATTCAGAACTGGAGTTTGGCGAAGTTGTTGCATTTAAAGCTTTAAAGAAATGCAAGAATCGCCTAAGGATCATGGAAACTGTACAGTTAGGAAGTAAAAATACACCCTATTGTACAAGAAATGACTAAACAGATGAGATCCCTTCAGCACAAAAGGAGGTAACTGAGATTTGGAAGTCCATAAAGCCATCAGTGGCCTGGATAGTGTGACCAGAGAGAAGAGGGATGGTGACTGACCGTGCCTGAGACTGACAGGAGAACCAAAGGAATCTGGCAGGTGGGAAGTACAGAGCAAAGGCAGGAGGTGACTCTTCATGTGATGTGTTGTTTTATGGTAGAGTTTCTTGCTGCAGGATGTTTAGGTGGTTCAGGGTGCTGCTGGATACATTTGTGGGCTGTTTAATCAGAGAATGCCAACACTGGCTCAGAAATGTCTTCAGTCACAAATTGCTGGGCTTGGGAGAGTATCCTGGGGTGGAATATCAGTCTGCATGTCCCACTGTGATACGTTTATGTAGGTGTTCGCTTTCCAACTGGAGAAGGGATGTTTGGCCAGATGAACCGAAGGGTCTGACCGTGTATTTTCTTACGCTCTAACGTTGTGTTCGTAACAGCACCGGTTCCAGCCTCAGAATCCGTTGTCTGGAGCCCAGCAGTTTGTGGCAAAGGATCCTCAGGAGGATGACGATTTGAAGCTGTGTTCTCATACCATGATGCTTCCTACACGGGGCCAGTTAGAAGGAAGGATGATTGTAACCGCGTACGAGCACGGGCTGGACAACGTCACGGAGGAGGCAGTGACCGCCGTTGTTTACGCCGTGGAGGTGAGGCTGGGCTGGACAGCAGCGGTGGTCTCAGACCACCACCAAAAGGCTCCGTGTGTGGGTATGGGGTAGCTTCCCTTAGAGGGGAGAGGAAATGTGCTTCTCTGCTGGCCCGTTTGCCTTGGGAGGAGTAAGTTGAGACTCCAAGGGCTTCCAGGTTTGTGGCATTAGATGTAAAGCCTTGGATTTCTACCTGTAAGTGTTAATTCTGAAGTACTTGCTTATGAAGAACTCCAGGCGTGCTTAAGTAGCTGTTTTGGAAAATGCTGTTCCTGTCAGTTGAAGGGGAGCTCCAGTTCAAACAGTTCTATGAAAACCAGTCTGCTACAGGCACAAGTATCTGGTGTGGAAGTGAGGCGAGAGAATCAGGTAATGCCTGCAGCTGAAGTGCCTGCTGTTGCTGGTTTTGGCTGTGAGCCGCACTTCACCTGACACGTCCCAGGGGTAGTACAGCCTTTGCTTGGTGCGTTGATGCCTGGGTGGTTTTCTGGAGTTGGGTGTGGAGGCCAACCCGAATTCCCCATCTGGGAGTGAGGCCAAATGAAGAAGCAGTTGTCTGCCTGTATTTTTCACAGTTGCTTCTCCAGCACTCCCCAGGCAACTGGACTCTGACAAAGAGGAGTTGAGTGGCTTTTTGCCGTAGCTTTAGGGCCAGTATTTCAGCACAAGTGTAACATCTAGTGCCGGTTACGAAGTCACTTAACTCTTTATCAACGGGGTTGGGAATTTCCTAGCATTTAAGAAACCTCTGACATTTGTGACAGTACATTGCATATTAAAGTATATTCACGGGCTGATCATACGGTACTCTCACGCAGTGCCGTGTTCTCGGTGTCTGGCTGTACCAGGCAGGGAAGACAGACTGTAACTTGCCCGGATCCCTTACGTCTTTAGGTCATAGCAGCACTACTTCCATCTTGCCAATGGGTGAGGCACTTCTCATAGCTGTGGCTTGGCAGGGTGAACAAATTGGCACATGTAATAAGATTGTTTTTTATTGCAGAACCATCTGAAGGATATCCTGACCTCTGTGATATCCAGGCGGAAAGCCTATCGGCTGAGAGATGGCCATTTCAAGTACGCCTTCGGCAGCAACGTTAACCCTCAGCCGTATCTGAAGAACAGTGTTGTTGCTTATAACAACTTAATTGAGTGGTAAGGAGCTCTCAGCACACTAATTTCAAATGCAATTTGCTAGTCCTGAAGTTACTCAGTGGTTTGGTTTCTCTTTTTACTTGGTGGAACCTGTTAGTAGTGGTGTTAACTTGCACACGCTATTGGCACGGAAGACTGTACAGCTGAACAGGAGGGAGAATATGCCTAGCAGTGGAGTTTAAGACAGTGTTAAGTCTGTTCCTTGCTGGTTCTTGTCCATCAGTTTATGAAAGTGACCCGTGACCCTCTGAATGTCCTTAATTGTTGCTTTTGGAAGCTGAAGTGACGCAGGAATTTTGCTGCTCTCGGGGAGACTGCCCTGGGCAGAAGAGCTTGGCCTTTTGGGCACGGGTGTTGTGCCACAGGAGTGAAATGTCAGTGCAGACCTGTGGGACGCTGCTATCCTGTCGTTTCCTGCACCCAAATGTATTTTCGGTTCCTTGGCAGGCCGTTTCAGTTAGCGTAGCTTCAAGGTCATCTTGTTTTCCAGAGTCTCAAACAGCTTATGCTGCGCATCTGGCAGCATGTGTGTGTGAGAAGGGAGTTGTTTGTCTATGGCAGCTTCTAGCAGTTGACAGGAGGTCGTGGGTGGTTTAAGATTTGATTATAGTTCTACAAACACTACAAATGCAAACCACTCCACACGACTTTGCCTGACAGCTGACGTCTTCCAATTCAGTGTTGTGGGTGCCTTAATTTTGTTACTGGGTAGAAACGATTGGCTGTAAATGTTGCCCAACTGACATCAGTTACAAAGCAGGTTTGAAACATGTTGAGGGTTGACTTGCTCGGTTTTATTTAACTGGAATCTTAAAGAGATTTTAATTACAGCCAAAATTATCGTATGTACATAGGGCTAAGTTAACGGATACAGAAAAGCAAAGCCCCTCCTGTGACTTGCAAAGGTGAAGCTGGGAGGTTTTACTGCCTGCTCTATCCACAGCCCCCCAACCTGTGCGACACCTTCTGCTGGTCAGAGCCTGGCTCCGCAGCCCCCGCCTGATGATGCTGAGCAGCAGGCCGCTCTACTCCTGGCATGTTCCGGAGACACCTTCCCAGCATCCCTCCCGCCAGTGAACATGTATGACCTTTTTGAGGCATTACAAGTAAGTGTTGACGTCACTCTGTCGTGTCACATCATGCTGTCATGTCGGGTCATGTTACCAGTCTCGGATTTGGTTTACATGCACGGAGCAGGATTTGATTTATCTTCCTGCTGTTTCCTTCTTTCTCTCTCAGATTTACAATTCCTTGGCTTTGACTCGTTCACGCTGTTAGGTAACAGTCAGCACACAGTCAGCTCATGGTTGAATGCATGGTCTGCTCCCCTTTGTCAGAGTTATGAGGAAATTCCTGTCTCACAGCTATGCAAGAAGGGTGTAGCAAGACTGCAGTGATTATATCAGAACTGAGCTAGACTGAGGTTTTGACAGCAGCGCAACAAAATGACTTGCCTGGCATGTCCCTTCTTACTAGTGTTCCACCCTGGATACTTAGAGGAATAATACTTGCTCCTGGTATGCAGTGGGTTAGCCATGATCACCCCAACCCTGGGGAGGTGCTAAGGTAGGCTGGATGACTCTCCGTGTGGAGATGCATGCCTGTGGTTCCCTCCCTCTGGCAGTTCTGGGAACGTTCACACTACTCTGAATGTCTAAAATTAGCTGTGAGAAATTCCTCCCCTGATCTCCACTCTTTCTCAAGGCTGAGGAGGCAGAGTGCTCTTTGTAAGAGCCATAACTGAGCATTCGTCTCGCGTTCAGTCGGCTAGAATTTGTTGTTTGTGACGTTTTGATGACACGTTGTTTTTTTTGTCGTTGCAAGAGGAAAACAATGATTTCCTCGCCGTGTTGCACCCTTACAAAATGCCACCCCCCGGTGGTTCTGCGCTGGTTGGTGGGGCAGCGCTGGGAAGTGGCAGCTGTCGTGTGCCAGCCTGCGTTCCCGCTGCCTCTCAGATCATCCTGTAGTAGAGGGAGGCTATTCCACGGGCAATAGAGGGAAATGTGTATGAAAACATAAAGCTTACTTTCTAACGTGTATCTCCAGGTGCACAAAGAAGTTATTCCAGCGCACACCGTCTACGCTCTAAACATTGAGAGAATTATCATGAAGCTCTGGCATCCGAACCATGAGGAGCTACAGCAGGATAAAATCCATCGCCAGCGCCTGGCAGCAAAGGAGGGCCTTCTGCTCTGCTAGGTGGCCATGTCCGGCCTCAGCCAGCTACAGTGCTGCTCCTTGGACTTTGGCGTTCAGACGCTTCTTACAAACCTGTGGCAGCGTTCCAAGGATGACGTAAGTTATGAGTCAACTTTTCCTATGGAAATACGACCGAGTTGCGGTACGCTTTCTCTGCTTCCCCAGAGACTTGTGCCATGGAGTGCTTGCACCAATCCCACTGACTTGGCAAGGAGAAACAAGAGATTTGTTTGCAAGGACTGTTTTTTTTAGGAAAAATAAATGTGAGGGTGGAAAGAGTTGGTTTTAAATAAGTTGTATTTGTGTTTTCTTTTGTGAGCATGGGGAATCTGCCTCCTTTCCCTCCCCTCCTGGGTAGTTTCCCTTCTGAGCTCAGTCTCCAGAGGGCTCGTCCAGCTTCTGTTGCAGTTGGTGGGATCCTTTTCCATTCATTTAACTGAAAACGGGGTGGGCTCTTCTGGAGATGAGCAATTCCGTAAGCTGACATTGTTCCTCTTCTTCCAGGGGAACTTCTGATGAGAAATTCTGAGAAAGCAAAGCAAAAAGGGAAAGGTCCTTTCTAGCCCATCTTTTGAACTGTGTTGCATCGCAACACACGGCATGCGCTGTTGTAGGAATGTCTCACCCAAAATGTGCTATAAAATCAGGGTTGTGAGTAATGTTTTCCCGCCAGCCTAGTCCTTGACTTGCCTCTGTTGTAGTAGCTGTGATCAGGTGTTCTAGGAGCTGTTGGAGCTAGGAGGAGAGGCAACCTCTGTGCCTCCTGGGACAGCTAATGGTTCAGCCGTTCCACGGGCAGCTTGGCCATCCCTTAGGTGGGACAGCAACTCCTGGATACCACTGTCAACACTCTTGGTGCTGCAGACTCCTTGGATTTGCAGGGTGAACCTCTGGAGGTACCTGGGAGGTCATGTCTCTTGAGGTGTGGTTAAGAGGGGAGCGGGAGAGAGGAGGTGGACGATTTCTTTTGGTCCTTTTCTCTCCGCTGCCATTTTTTCTGTATTTAAGCACACAGAGCTGTTCAGAGTGAGCTTTAGCTTAAAAGTTGACCCCGGTGGCTTTTACGTGACAGTTTTTAAAAGCAACACTGAACCGGAGTAACTGTATGTGGTGAGATCATCAAGTCACCCGAAGTACGGACTCTGGGGTGTGGGAGGGGGATTTCCCAAATAAGTGTTATGCTTCTGGTGTAAAATGAAAGCAATAAGTTTTGTTTGCTAGAAACTTTGGGGCACCTCTGAGGATTTCAGATCTGAAGAAAGCACGCAGCCTCCGACAGCATCACGAGTTCCGAAGGTAAATACAAAGCGTGGCACAAGAAGTGCCTCTCTCTCCTGATTGGGGTAAAGCTCTGCGGATGGAGCCTCTGTTCCGAAGAGCTGAGTCATCTATTCCACACTGAAAAAAGTGGGGGGTTCAGGACACCTGCTAGACAGCAAAGGCTTCAATAAGGAAATCCTGTCAGCCTCGTTTCCCAGGTTGGAAAACAAAGGGACATGTTCCCGATGCACTTTCCCACAAGGTCCGAGGACTCCGAGCAGTGGTGCTTCACAGGCTCCTGGGATTGACCGCTGGAAGGCGAGGCTGGGGCTGCTTTGCCCACCCCCTGCTGAAAGAAGGGTCAGTTCAGAGTTAGTGCAGATTGTCCGTCTCCAGAGACGCGGTGACGTTTCCTATTCCAGTGTGTGACCATGCTGGCAGTGAAGGTTTTCCTTGCATCTCCTGAGAATTCTCAGGCTGTGCCTGTTGCCTTTCAGCTTTTCCTGTGTGTCTGGCTCCTCATCTGCGAGTAGCAGGTTAACAGTAAGATCTCCCTTTTGCCTTCTCTCCGCGCTACACAAACCTGGCACGCTCAGCTTCTCCACCTGTTGTGTGCTCCAGCCCAAACCATCTTGATAGCCCCGCTGAACTCACTCTGGTATGTTGCTGTTTTGTGCTGGGGAGCCCAGACTGGGCCCAGCCCTCCAGGTCCTGAGCAGAGATGCAGGATTCTTGCCAGCTGCGCTTCTGGTAGAGCCTTTGCTGCACGGGTGCACTGCTGTCCTGTACACTCAGTTTCCAGGACCTTTTCCTGCAAAGCTGCTTTCTTGCCTGTTGTCTCCGGCCTGTTCTGCTGCTGGGGATTGCTCTGTATGGGTGGCAGGGCTGTGCATTCACCATGGAACTTCTTGAGGTTCCTCTCAGCCTATTTCTCCAACCTCTCTAGGTCCCTCTGAGACCTGCCCTGAGCGCAGGGGGATGGCACTGATAGTGTTGCTGTGAGCTGGTGGCTTTCCCTGTAACATCCGTCTGTCTTCACTACAGTAATCGGCCCTCTAAAATGAGTAAGATTGCTGAATTTCAAAGCAGCAGCACTGAAATCAGTTTGGAAGGGTTTACCTTCTGCACCAAGAACCTGCCAGCACTTCAGCACCTCACCGGGCTCTCTCCATGGCCTGGCTTTGGGTGACGGTGGCTGGCTGAGCTCCAGGTGTGGTTGGTGCCCCTGGGAGTGGAGGATGCAGAAAGAAAATCGCCTGCTTTTATTTCTCAGATGGTTCCAGCTGCCAAACCTGGCTGAAGTCTTGCCAAACCTTTCCATCTGGGTGCCAAGGAGGATCCTAGAGACTTGTAGCCCTCCACAATACCCCCAAACAGCCAAACTCTTGCTCCCAAGAATAGTGACCAGGAAAGGTGTTTCTTGTTGCTGGTTCACAGCGGAAGTCTGGAGCACTTGCTGTCAAACACACGCTGGGCTGCCTTTCTCTTAGCTTAACTGCTTGTATATCGCCTCCAGCCTTCCCACTCTTTATTCTGCAGCTGAGGGGGATGCTTTTGGTTGTTGTGTCAGTTATTCTTATCCTAGCAGAAAATCCCCCTGCTGTAGAAAGCTGGGATTGGGTTTGACGCAAACTGGCTCCTCTGTGAGGGCCAGAAACTGTGTGCCAGCAGTGCCTAAAAATGCAGATTCTGGTTTGTCCACCAAGAAAAATTTAAACTAGTGACTCTGTACCATCTTCTTCCTACTGGATCTCTAGGAAACTTCTGACAAAGAGAGGAAAATAAGGAAAGGAGACTGCTTGCATTTGCATCCTTAAACTGTGAATGCCCAAGAGCCCCCAGCTGGGGTTGCAGAAATGCTCTGCTGCCCAGCCAAGCAGAAATGATACCAGGAAAGGAAACCCGTTGTGCTCCCAGAGTGGAAGTGTGTGCCCGCTGCAGTCCAGTGTCCTCAAGGAAGAAAGTCTCTGTGGAAGAGGAGCTGCCTCCCCAGTTCCGAGGGGCAGCTGAGGAAGGGGGTTGGTGGTAGCTGTTCCCTGTCAGGGACTTGTAGGTGATGCTGGCTGCGTCTTGCTGATGCGCAGAAGGGTTTGCAGCGGTGCTGTAGCAGCAGCAAGCTCTGCTCCAGCGAGAGGCACCGCTCCTGCTGCGAGAGGGGGGCTTTGGCAGCATAGCTTCGGTGGGCTCCTAGAAGGAAACAATTCCTCAGAGCCAAAGGGTTTACTTGTGGCGTTGCCTTTCTTCACCAGTGTGTTCCTACCTCGCAGTTAGGGCAGGAGCAGGCTCCATGTGTGGCTGGGGCAGGCCGGGCAGTGTCGGGGAGGTGGCGTGATGGCTCGCAAGTCAGAATCCGCCAAACTGTGAGGCCAGCACAGCTCTGTGCAGGCTGCGGCGGTGGGACCGAAGGGACTCACCTGCTTGGCACCCCTCGGGCTTTTTGGCACAGTTAGAGGTGTGCAAAGTCAGGGCACAAACACTAGTGTCTGCCTTCAGGGTGTATGGAGACATGAGCTCACAGTGGGACGTCCCCACGCAGACACAACGCCGCGTGGGGTTGTGTGGCAGTGACAGGAACGTGGTGCAGATTCCTTCTGGGTTGAGCTGCTGCTGTAAGATGCCTCCAGCCCCGAGCCTGAGTATGGTCCAAGCTCCTGATGAGCTGATTAATTTCTTTATTTTTCTAGATCGCAGAAGGCGGAGGCAGCATCGAGTTATAACTGGACAGAAAACTTGTGTATTTTTCACCGGATACATCTAAGTGAAGTTTTTTGTAGAGTCTTTGATTAGTTTCTTACCAGGAAATGAGTTTGTGTCTCCAGATAAAACCCCCATGGGCCAGATGTTATCACTGCAGACGATCCTCAGTCTGAAGATGCTCAGGTGGAGTACTGGAGGCTGGCACTCAGGCTCGTGTTCTTCCTAAGGGCCAGTTGAGTGAGGACAAATGTTCCCAGATTTCAGGGGTACAAGCTGCTCCTGGGGCTCTGCTCAGAGCCTGGACCCCCCTGCAGCGGGTGCAGCGTGTGGCAAAGAAACCGCCGCTGCAGCAAGTGTCCGTGACCCCTTTGCCAGCTCAGGAGAGCCTGGCACAGCCATTCCCACCCTGCGAGCCAGCCCTTTGCCGCAGGTCCAGCCCTCGCCCTCAGATGCTGGGGAGCTGCGCCTGGGAGCAGGGCTGGCTGCCTGGCTGGGGTGGTGCTTGGCACCTCGCTCCACTCCATCTGGATCGCATGCCTGGGTGAGCGCCGGAGGGATTGTCTCTGGAGAGAGGTCCCTCAGAAAGATGGCAGGCATCGGCTCGGGGGCTGCCTTGCCGGGAGCGTGTTGTTGGTTATCATTAAAAAGTATTGTTTCCATTTGAATTTGTGAAACCGGTTTCCCGTCGGTGGGTTTTGTTATGTCTTTGTTAAATTTAAAAGCTCCCACAATCAGATATCTGCTTCTCTTTCTGAAACTCCACTTCGGTAAGAAGAAAGAGAAGGAGCTGGGGTTGCTGTTGTCTCACAGGAAGGGCTGCTGGGACAGCCCGTAATCTCTTTAAACCCTTTGAAGGTTTTTAGGCCTTGTTTTGGAGCGTGGAGGCAGTGCTCCTCTCCGAGTCCTGGCAGCAGGCAGAGACCCCTTCCCTCTTTCCTTCCTTATTCCTCTGCCCAGCCCGCTCTTGCATCCCCGGAGGTGGTTTGGCCCTGGCTGAGCTGTCTTCCCTAGTGGTTCTTGAAGCTGTCATCCTGCCGTAGGTAATTCCAGCGAAGCCTCCTTTCGCTCTGGCGGTTTCAGAGCGGGCTGGACCGCAGCAGCTCCAGGGAACGGCCTTGGGATGGTTTTATTTCTATCCTGGAAGCAGATGCTCCAGACGGGGCTTGGGAGAGCGTCAGCAGGTGCTTCTGTACTGTGGGAGGTTGGCACAAAGCCCTTCTGTGAACTGTGGGCTTGATTTGAAGATACTAATATTTTGTTTATTTGACTACGTGAAATGCTGATGGTAGCGGATACTCTGTGTCGCTCTAGGGAAAAGCAGTTTTCCACTGAA